ATATATATATATATATATATCGAATTAAATTTTATATAATTAGTTAGAAAAATTTTCATTCCATATAAATCAGTAGGATGGTACTGTGGAGAGAGAGAGAGTGATTAGCAGGAATCTGCCTTTCCAAGTGTCACGATCCATTAAAGTCATGCAGTAGTTGGCCAAATAAATGAATCTCCATGGATTATTACTACTATCATTTATGCTCATAGTTGGATTTTACTATAAATGAGCTCTGGTTCAAATTAGTGCATTGTAATTATAATGGTACTCCATGGGAGATTCCAACTGTCTTTTATGTTGCAATAAGTGTGGGAAGTGCCTTTTATTATATGTTAATGTTACATAATCTTTGTCTTAAATGCTAGGACAAAGATACTTGCATCTCATGGGGGGATGCATAATGTGGCCAATAAATCTCATGGTGCATGTACCTTATAGAATTTTTACTAATATGGTTAGGTGTCTCAACTTTTATTGATCTTCATCTTATTTTAAGGAGAAAATTAATAGAGTTCATTGATATATTAATATTTTTATGAACATAATCAATGGGCTAAATCCACTCTAATGTATAAATTATCCTAAATATATGATTGGTGTTGGCAATGTAATTAGTTATATCATAAATTTCAAGAAGAGTGATAGCTTAGGAAAGTATTTATTTTTGAATTTTTCTCATATGGTACTCATTTTCATAATTCTCAAACAGTCACCTCCTATTTCTAATGCTTCAAAAATGCTCCTTTTATAAGTTGTTTTTTTTTTCCTATCAAAATCAGAAAAAAAATTTGTCAAATATTTACAGAGTTTTGTGGGTTAGTTTTTATCCACAAAACATTGTATAGTATTTTTAAAATATTATATTTTTTATTTTAAAAATACTATACAATATTTTAAAAATAAAAACACTATATAATGTTTTAAAACTAGCCTTATAGTGTTTTTATCCATAAAAACAATATAAGACTAATTCAAAAATACTATAATAGTATTTTTGAACTAAATATTGATATCATAATATTTTTTAAATAAAAATACTAAATTATATTGATATCATAAAATCTCGGACCTTACGATAAATTATTAAGATATTTACTAACTAAATTAGTGGATACTATCACTATTTCCATTAGAACTCTCACAAGTGTCACCACCATCCCCTATGGAGTTTATTATTACCAACCATCAATATTAATATCATTTATGTTGTTGTTCAGATTGCCACTGTTATAATCATCTCAACCATTATCATTATTTTATCATCATTAGATATGACAATTGATAATATTTTGATACCTGAATCCACTCAAGTCAATTAAATCAGGTTTAAGTATTTTTTAGTCAAGCTGGGATTTGAGTATGTCAAATCATATATTGGGCACTATACTATTAGAATCAGTTTAAGATTTTTGGCCATCTAATCAAATTCTCAAAATGATGTGAGAGTACATTATAGTTACATTTTTCTGATTATCCAATCATATATTTTACAAAGTAGAATAATAAGTTCCCAAGTGAGAACCTTTATTCATTATTATTTTATTTTCAAATTATAGTTGTGATGGGTTGGTTGTTTTGAGACATATAACGATGACTAGTTTAATTTAGATTTGAATATTCTCGATCAGACTCAAATAGATTTATCTAAAATAGATTCTATTGAGTAGGTATAGTTGGATACCGAATATTGTAACTATTGTATTCGGGAATGTATTTGAAATGTGCATCGATAATGAATGCATATTTCATATATGAATTTATGCTTAATATATTTTTTTTTCAAATCACATTAGATTTGAATATTAAAATACTTTAAAAAAATTGATCGAACTATCGATGTTATGGTTAGCACAATCACACATCATATTAATCTGATAGACCATTTAATTGATGTATCTGAGTCGGTGTAGACATGACATCTCATCGTCCACAACTTAAATGGTCTAACGTTGAGTGGTTGAGTAAGTGCAACAGCTTCGTCCCACGAGAAACCCCAAACGCAGAAGAAACGAAGCATTTGGGTGAAGCGTCCACACCAAAGAGTAGAAGCGTTGACATCGCTTGTCCCCACGGCTACTGCAGTGGTCTCTCCAATTGCCATCACAACAGTCGGATGATTCCTCCCGTCTGATCAGACATTAAACGCAACCTCACCAAATATTGCATTGCTTTGGCTTGTTGTCGCAGAGAATTAAAGAGCCATGATGAACAGCCGAGCTCGGTGACGAAGGGACTCGTTTTCACATTACAGGTCTATGATTCCCACAGTACGGTCAATCATCCTCCAATTGTTTGATTGTCCAAAGAGTAGGAAACAGTCGAATACGTCATCTGATACAAACAAATGTTTCGCTCTCATCCTCTTTGATTCTTGTGATTTGTGTAATTGTGTTCTCATTGGACTGTCGATCGTATGCTGAGCCTACCGAATATATTATTGAATGTGATGATATCTTAGTAATGAACTCTCTCATCTTATAGATGAATTTGTGGTGGTTGCATAGTGAAAGGTAATTTTGGAGGGGCTTAAGAGGCCTATAATTATGCAACATCTAGGTTTTCTCCTAAAAGAAAAAGCTTCGGTGTTTATTTCAAGTTAAATATGTGATAGTCGCATTAACAAAAAAATGAAAAAAAAAATTCATTCGATGGATATGTCATGTCAACAAAATCTAATTAAAATTTAATTTTTTTTATTATGAAAAATATCTTCCTGATAAAAAATGGTTAAGGGAAGGACGACTATAAGAGATGAATAGGGATAGATTTTGAGGTCAAACATCCTTTCTTCGTTTTCTAAACTCATTTCGGAAGTCTAATTGAATTGTGCAAGAGATTACATCGAATTCCTTGTGATACTAGTCTTTGTACAATAATGAGCATCTCGAGTTCTGGGTCACCCTATATACTTAGTATCACATCAGTCACCCTATAATACCTCAAGTGAAATTAGACTTTCAGTATAGATCCGATCGAAACTAAGTCGGATAGCCACCTTTAGCAATATGTGTGATGCAAAAGTGATTATTTTATACTTTCAATAAAGGATGGAGGTACTACGGGGCTAAGTCTATGTTGAGCTGATTAATATTACTAATTTTGATCATTTGTTAAGAAATCTCAATAAGTTAGTCCATAACATAGCTAACTTCATTAGAACATTTTTATTTGAGCCCATTGTGAGAGATTAGTGAATGACTTTAATTAAAAGAAAAAGAAACTTTTAATCATATGCATGATTTTGTAAAACCCATAACACCATAATCATGGATTGACATGGGATTTGGAAGGTTGAGAATTAGATAATCTATATTTATTATTTTATTTGGGATTACTGATGAGTGATTCTCATGAATGAACTTATCAAAGAATATGAAATCAATTAGGGTGCATAACACTTCTAGTTTCCGAGTCTTTCAATTCTCTTACTAACTTGTCAAAAGGAATCTTGTGGAGCATGTTTTAATGCAATTTGTAAGATACCTTATCAAACCACCACATCCTCAGCTCGAAAGTTTTACTGTATACTCACCTACTAGACTCAAGTTGCCTTTAAAACTTATGATAAGTCAAACAATTATAAGTTGCATTAATCGAATATTTAGATTAGATCATTATCACTTAGTAGCTAAAGA